GGGCCCCTGACTCCCCCCAGCACGCGCCGCCCGCCCGCCCCGAGCTGGAAGCAACGCGGCCGCCGTCCTCACGGAGCCCTGCTCCGCATGGGCCACCCCAGCGAGGGTGCCATGAGTCCCAGACCTGCACGGGGACCCGGGCCAGCCCATGCTGAGGAGCAGTGCGAGAGGCCGTGTTCACGGAAAGGCAGAACTTGAGGATCCCCTGCATGTGAAGAAGAGTCCAGCAGTATTTGTCTGTGTGTGCGTATTTTGCATAAAACATCTCGCAATGAGTGGTTACTTTTCCCTTTCTCAGCTAAGGAGTGTGATAAACACAATACAATCCAGGAGTGATGTCTGGTAAACAATATTTATTTAATGTGTTTCACTGTAATTGCCAAAGGCAAAGGGCCAAGAGAGTTTTGATTTGTCACGAGTGGCAAACAAGAAAGGAACAGTCAGAGCAGAACAACTCGCCTGTGTCGCAGATCCAGAGGTGCGAATTCAAACCTCGCTCTTAGCTAGTGCTAAAGATTCACCTTCATTTAGAGATGAGTGTCTGTCCTTTCAGTAGAAGTAAAGAATGACCTACTTAAAGCCATGCATATATCTCCCTCTTACGCTGGCAGCTAGAGAACTGCTACGAGTCAGATGTGTTGGCCTAAAAAAGCATCAATTCGCCTCTGATTTTGGGAAGAGGCAGCCAGCAGAAGCACTTCACTCAGTCACTGGATCAGAAGCTTCCCGCATTTTGCCACACCAGAGCAGATGAAAACAAGACACCTGGATGCTCTTCTTCCTCAGGGGACATCGCTACTTTGCAGTCCCATTATCATCCATCACAAAACCACAGATTCCCTAACTCTGGACTCACTGATATTCTGGTTAAGCTATAATTTTATCTTACCTTTAACCAAGAAGCAGCTGATGAGCAATTCTTACAAACTGTCTCAACATACCCCTAGGGATACACACCCTGCGGACACACTGATCAAAACTACAGCATATTTCACCGAACTCAGAATCGAGCGCACCCGCGCGCTCGTACGCACACAAACAAGCACACAGGCACATTAAAACACCAGCTCTCTCCGACTCGCTGCTTAGGAGCAAAAGTGGGTGAACCACATAGAGATTAAAGCATTAAAAAAAAATCGTAGAGAATATGATGCTTGAAAGCACTGTATCCCTGGAGAGATTAGAGTAGCTGCCTAGAGATAAAGTAATGATGGAAAGATCGTCTTACTTCCAGAGACTCTTTTCCTAATTAACTTCTCTGAAGAGGGGAAAAAAAGAAAACTCTCCAGCCTTCATCCCTCTCCTCACAATTTCAGCGCTGCGCCCACTTCATTCCAACGGGCTAACGATTGTACAAAAGGGGAAGGAGAGGGAATCGACACGGACAACACAAGGCAACGCAGCTGTAAACGAGGGGCAGCATTCGATTTCCGTCACCACCGGCAGCTGAGAAGGCCGATGAACAGAAGAACGATCACTGCAGCATCGCTCTCCAGAGCCTGCAGACAGCGGCAGCGTTTCCACCGCTGCTGTCGGGAAAACCATCTCCACAGGTTCCAGTCGGATTCACCGTCACCTCTCACTACAGGGGTAACAATGTGTCTTCCCTGCAGCTACACACAGTGCTGAGCTTGGATGTCACGGTGAGGAAAACCTCACATCCTAGCAGGAATGAGGAGCATGTCCAGCTCCTTCATCCCCCACTTTTTTTTCTTCCCAAAGAGAAAGCCACTGCTTCTGCTTCTAGGAGATGGGCAGAGAAGAGCACGCTTCAGGTACATGCCAACTACAAGACCATGCAAGGACCAGGCCCACGAGGCATCCTACAGCGCAAGAAGTCCTGCCAGAAAGCATCATGCCCAATATTTGGAGGTTTGTATAAGAAAAATTGTCCCCCTTGGAAACAGCTTAAGCTCTAGTTTAGAAGCAGCCAGTGTTTGGCTAGCAGGATGCGGAGATGCCCCGTTTCTGAGGCAACAAGGACTTGCCAGAGAGCTGACAGTCACGGAGAGCCCTGACGGAAGCAGATGGCACAAACAGACCATGCTGAGACAGGAGATGCCCTCAGTGGCCATGGGCCCAGTTTAGACTAAAAATGCTGGTCACGAGTCTCCTTGAAAGCCCTTTTCCAAATCAAGCAGCTCCTAATGCTGCTCAGGTAGTGTCACACAGAAAGAGATTCGTCTACCCGGAGCATTTGTGAACGAACGGAGGTCAGAAACGAAAGCGCCAGACCACATCTCTAAGCAGCCCCATCATTAACAGCTATTCTGGAGTAGCCCCTTCCAAATAGCTTACGCTGCAGTCACTCTTCATGTTGATTTCCTCATACAGACAAGTCAAGTGGATGCAGATAGACTTAAATTAAACAGGAAAGAGCTTCTTATTTCAGGATGATAACGCTTGCATATGAGTAAATTAAGATCAGCCACTGCATTTACAGCCCTGCTGCGCCTCGGGACGCACATTTGCCCCCGCATGGCAGTGCTCTCCGGGAGGCAGCGCTGGAGCCGTGCGTGGGAGCGCGCGATGCTCAGCGCGGGGCGTCGCAATGCGGGAGACACGGCGGCTGCAGCCAGACCCGCCTCGCGGTCACTCCTTGC